AAGTTATTCAAATGTGAGTTATAAGCAGAACTGAAAGCGGAGTAAATGAAGTTGAATTTGAACCAGTAAATAAAATACTTGGCAAAATGAAGAGGAAAGCAATTAGATCAAATAGTCGCCAAGCTGATACACTGTAACCATTTAGACATTTTGAGGCGCTACATAGGAGATTATTGTCTTTTTATGGCTAGTAAATTGTATATTCCAATTGTTTTCAGGTTAGTTTATTGACTTTTTGCTCTAACATCCATTTAAAATGCCGCATAAAATATGCCTTTAAAGTCAAATGTCGAAAGTTGCGCCCCACAATTAAATCGAACACAAGCCATAAATAGAGGCATCTTAATTAAGTTTTGGCATTTGCAGAGGGCATGCAAAAAATGTTTCAGCTCTTAACTGTAACAAAACGGTTAACAGATACCACATATGAGCAAATTGAAATGTATATATTTCGCATTTTGTTGCCGGTTGCCCGAAGGGGGCAATTATTGTTGGCGTCGTGACTCGAACTCAAGCAGTTGCCAATGGCCATAGGAGAAACCACACACCCCAACACAGACTGGACGTAATCCAAGACGACCTTGTTGCCGTCTCGGGTTCATCAGTTAGTTAACTTGCATAATCCACAATTGAGAAAATGTGAAGCCCACACACAATTCGCGCTGCTCTCTTTCGTTTTTATTGGACTTGGTTTGTTTAGTTGTGTTTCGATTTGTTTGCCAATCAAATTAGTCACTCAAAGCAATTGCAAATGAAATCGAAATTAATATCAATTAGGCTATAAGGCGCTTGCCAACGCTAACCAATTAAAGCATTCAACTTTAACTCGAGCCAGGCGACAAATATAAATTTACGTTTAAATGTTGCGCCATCGTTAAAATTTCATTTAACTCAATCAGCTCAACTGGGCACTGTGGGGAGAGGGGGCAGATGGGGCAGAGGAGGCAGAGGAGGAGAACAATCAAAGCTCATAACAATTCGAGTTGCCGCGTGCCGATAAATCAATTTGCTTGGCTTGCTTCGCCTTTGCTTTATTTTCATTTTGATTGCACATGAAATTGTATTTGAACAGCTACAGCCCCGGAAAGTTGGAGTCATCGAAGTCAGCCACTGGCAGTGTGTAAAGAGGCAGATAGTGAGAGGGGGCAGTGGGGAGTAGGAGGGAGGGGTGAGTGCTTACACTTAACAAGCTGTCTTTGTGAGTGCCGGTGAATGGCGGCGTTTTGTTATGGGCCAGATCAAGATCGTTACCAACAGAGAGAGAGAAAGACTGCAACTACAACTGCAACCGAAACAGGAACGTTTCATGATGTCGATTATGATGATGTTGTGGTTCTCATTCATTTCTCAGTCTCCACCAGCACCCCACACTCCGAAGGCAAACCAGATTAACTCTAAAATGGTTTATTGTGTGGCCTTCGTTCTAGGCGAATCGCCAACGCATTTCACTTTTCAATTATTTTGTATTGTTTCCACGAACATATTCAGTGCCAAATTTGATGGGTGTTGGCATTGAGTGATTCTCGGAGCAGCCTGTCCGTTCTTCTTTTTGTCTGTATATGACGTCATTTTGCATTTGAAAACTCGTTGCAATCTCTCGCGTTGACCGTAAATAATAGAAACTATAATAAAATATCACGAAATACAAAATAATTTACTCTTAGCTGAAGTCATTTGCGTGTGGCAAACATTAGCAGCTAATACATAAAAAAAAATCAAAATGTAATTGCGAAAAAACAACAAGTAAAAACGGATCAGTTAAGCTTGAAATTGCTTGTTAGTAAAAAAAATACACATCGAGCCTAGGCTTATATTATTCTATTGCCTCATTCACTTAAAACAAAAAAATAAAGAAATTACGCTTTGTACATATTTTTATGATAATTGAAGATAAATGGCTTTTTCAACTTATGGCTGAATATATATTACGCGTTTGCTAATTTACATAAAAGATTATGGAAAACTTACGGATTAGTTTTGTTTAACTAAATTGAGAAATTGTAAAATTTTACTTAAGCTATTTATCATCTAAATACAATTTCGTTTGTGGCTGTCATAAAAACTATTTATTTTAAAAGGCGCGTAACTCTTTTTTTTTCCCAATTTGAATGTTAGCTTTAATTAGATTTCAATAGATTGCATAAGAGCATTAATTTCGTCACACTGATATGCCCATAATTTCTCATCATTCTCTGCCCGGAAGCTACTTCAAACTAACCATTAAAATAAAAATATATCTGTAGGTTTTTGATATGCCCATTAAATCAACTGTCCCTGGGAAACGCCCTTAAAATATAAATACAAGTACTATAAATATATATGTATTTACGAAATAGGGTGCTTTGAGAAGGTAGCAAGAAGTCAACGCAACATTAACTTCTGCCTTGAGACTGGTGACCCTATCGACCCATAACTTCCTACCCCCGTCACTCTAATACGGCCCAGCCCCAGCATAATTCACACTCCATTGCACTGGCACACAATGAATTGGCATTCAAAAGCGAGTTGAGAACTTTATCATGTCTGTTTCAGTGGAACAGTTGCTTCTAAAGAAGTGTTCTTGAACTTTGCTTCAGTCACTTCCTGTTCTCTCACATAATTTTCAATAATTTGTGAGGCATTTCTTCGTCGCTTGCCCCAAATTGGCATTGTTTATTGGCCCTAAATATCAAAAGCATTTTTTGGCCGCTTCCGATTCACATTCAGGGCACGCTTCATACGCTCTGCTCGTCTTATCTCGACAGACGACGAAACACATGAGAAACTCTACAAATCGGAGCCAAAGAAGCACGTAATATTAATTAGCACATACACACACAAACAGAAGTCCAACTGGGCTCTTGATGAAAGCGCGTTGTTGGATTTTGTAATTGATGTGCTTGTTTCTGAGTGAGTGTGTGTGTGTGTGTGTTGGCGTGTGTGTGTTTGCGTGTGTGAGTTTTTCCGTGTGTGTGTGTGAAAATGCATACGGCAACGTACAACTCAAGGGAATTGTTGGTATGCAAAATATGGTTGCAAAAATAAAGTTAAGTAAACAAAAGATAAGAACGCGGCTGCCTTTTTGAAGTGTCGTTGACCAACTCACGAAAATACATTTTTATTAGTCATTGTTATGGCAATTGCACGCCATTAAATTGAATCTTAATGAACAGTAAAACCAACCAAAAATAGTTATATGTGCCGTAAGTAGAAGTTCATCCAATCCAATCTAGTTAAATCGAAATTGCTTTATGTAGTTGAATCTTTCCCATGACGGCATTTAAAAAACACGCCTTGATGCGGTTTAGCCGGTTCGACTTAAATACATAATTTTATTACTCATAGCCAAGTTTTTGAAAGTGTCTATAAAACGAGTTTGTATAAAATAAACAAACGTCGTTTTAAATATGAATATATATATATATATATATATATATCTTATATATTTATATCTTATAGAATCTATGTAGGAGCTAGCTTGATCTTCAATATACGCATTAATTAGCGTACAATCGACATAAATTATACTATTTGTAGGAAGTGCTGCAGGAAAATAGGCTCGACTTGACATTTATTTTGTTTAATTTTACATTTTTATTTTGTCAATTTCATTTGTGCTCATTTGCAGCGCCACATAAATTAATGCTTCAAACTTGAACTTGACTAATGACGTCATTCGGCAATCAAGTTGCAATAAACAATGAACAGAACAACAAAACAACAACATCAATGAAAACTCAGCCACCGAAAAACTGAATTAACATTTCAGACGGAGCAGCGAACAAAACAAAAACAAAAATAAAAAAACAAAATCTAATTTTATATTCCAATTTCTTGTCAACGCCATATTGGCGGAAACTCGAGCTACATAAATACGTGATTTCGACTGCTTTTAGTGCTGCAATTTATAATGAACTGCAGGAATATGAAACCCAGGCGATTTATTTGCCATTGCGCTTATCTATGTTGCAACTTGCAACTGGCAACTTGTGAGCTTATTTTTTTTTAGGTAGCAACTTATTGCCAACTACTTTCAAAGTCATCAATAAAAGTCGACGATAATAATACATAAAAAAAAAGAATGAAAGAAAAGCAGAGCATACACAAACCGACAGACAGACACCAGCTTTTTCTGTGGATAGAGGGAGCAAAGTGCAAGTACAACAAATGGATTCCAAAGTTCTTCTATCCAAGTGCAGTTGCAATTGCAGGCAAATATTTTAGATGTTACTTCTATGGCTGTAGTTGTTATAGTTATTGTTATTGTTGTTGCTGTGCTGTGTGGATTGTCTAGTCTGAAAGACGCCAACAGATTTGCCGTAATTTCAAGTGTAAACTGACAACGTTACAACCTGTACTACTCCATCGTTCCAAGTCATTTGTCGTCATGGGAAGTGGACACAACCCAGAAAAAAAAGCAAAAAAACAAACAAAAAAACAACGCACAACGGCGGCCTTGAAATGTAGTTTCATACATACATAAATACCACTCACCTACACCTAGGAAAATGGATTATGTATTTTTAGCTTATAGCCCGGTATAAATTTAATCACTATTTTTTTTTAATAGCTAAAACATAAATTGTAGGCTTTAGTTAACTCAACTCTTTGGCTGTGGAGGCAATCTTCATCAGCGATCTTTCCTTACTTGGGGCTTTAACCGTTTCAGAATTTTAAGCGCACTCTTGCAGCAAATCTCCGTTTGTAAATCACATTTTATTTTAGTTTTATTGCATGTATATATTTAGGTTTATGTATGTGTACAGTGCCAGGCCTCCCCGTTGCACATTCTCGAACATCCTCACGCACTTTGGGGAGCTAAAGCGCCGCCTGAACTGAACACTGGACACATGGACACATGGACAGTGGATTTTTTTTGTGGCTGTGAACAACTAACTAACTGGCAACTGGTTGTGTCCAGAAACCAGTTCGCAGTTTGCAGTTCTTCTGCTGCTGCTGCTGCTGCTGCTGCTGCTAGCTGACTAACTGGCAAGCAGGCAACAACAATTCGTTCAACTCACCTGAAATATCATATATCCCGAGTCGTACATCCAAAAGTCCTCGGGCGTGTGGCCCGGCTTGCTCAGCTGGATGGCCAGGCAGCGTTGCAGTATGAGGCGGCAGCGCTGCGGACCACCGGGTGACTTGGTGCCCATTGCGTTTGCGATTTTTGTCTAAAAATAACACGAGACGAGGCAAAACGCCGGACAAACTGAAGTTCAAGTTGAAGGAAGACTCGACGAACGGGGCGGCTCAATTCGTTTGTTGTTGTTGTCGATTGGATTTTATTTTTATTTTATTTTTGTTGTTTTGTTTTTGTTTTTGTTGGTATTTTTGTGCGTTCAAAGCTTCATTACAGCGTCACTTTTAATGGTCAACGAAAAACACAAGAGACAGCGAGACAGAGAGAGAGAGAAGAGCTAAAGAATGAAGTAAGAACGAGACTCGTAGTTAACTGTTGGTTGGTTGGTTAGTTGGTTGTTTGGTTGTTTGGTTGCTTGGTCGATTAGTTGTTGATGCTTTTTAGCGTAGTTGTTACATTTTTTATTTGTTTTTTCGCACACTTTTATTTTCGACTTTGTTGCTCTTCACTTTATGGCTTTTACATTGAGTCGGATGAACTTTTGGGCTGGAGCGACGACACATCAACCGCCGCAGCAGCAACAAAAACACGCAACGACAACGACAACAACGAAGCGGCGCACGCGCAACAAGCGAAAGCAACGACGAACGACGAGGTGGACGGAGACGCAGCTAAAAAATAGCGACGGCAAACGAACGACCACAGCGCGAGTGGCAACCGAACGTACCGAGCGACACAAACAAACTGAGCGCCAACTGCTAATGCGACTCTGCTGCTGCCGCCGCTGCTGCTGCTGCTGCTGTTGCTGGTGCTGCTATTGCTGCTTCTCACGGCTGCTGCTGCTGCTGTCGTCGCACAGCACGAGCGCCAACGAAGTGGCAGCGACGCAAGCTGCTTCGGCTGCGCAAGTGGCGTTTGCATTGGCGGGTAGCTTTTTTCGCACACGTTTGGAGAGTCTCGACTTTGAAGTTTTGCCTGCTTGCCTGCCTGCCTGCCTGCCTGCGTTGTGGAGACTTTTGTTGCGGCTTACTGAAATGACAATAATCAAAACGAGAAGCGGCATTAAAACCTTGATTATAAATTCAATTAGGCGAACCAAAAAAAAAAAAAGGAAAGAAAAAATAAATAAATAAATAAATGAATATAAATAATTATAAGCGCGTCGTCTTACTGTCTACAACTGCTCCTAATACGATGTTATTATCATCATCATCATTAGCAATCAAGCTTAACGGTATGGCAAAAAACAAAAAATTTGGCAACTGTTTGGCACAAAAGATATTTGAAACTCTCCCACCGTTCGGTCGTAGCTCATTTCCTGCCCAAATCACCGGATATACTAATGACTATAAATGGGTTAATTAAATCAAAACTTGCAACTTTATGTTCCAGCTATTTTTAAGGGTACTTAGCCTTAGATATACATATTTATATAATATATACCAGAAATGTATTTACGCACACCATTTTCAATTCAAATCAAATTCAATTTGCATGTAAGCAGCTAGGAAGCGCAAGCAGCAGATTACTTATAATTGCGCATACGCCATGTATGACAACTGTCAATCAAAACAACGACTGCGTTTCCAAATGCAAATGAATTTAATCATAAATGGCACACAAAACGAGAAGAAGAAAAAATCGTACGCTGCGTCAGCATTAGAAATTTACATCGACAATTATCAGATTACGAACTTGCGAGATTTTACACGATTATTTGATTCGTGTCGCGTTGCGAGTCTGTCGCTTATCTTTGGCATTTGTCGCACATTCATCTTCCGAATTCGGTCAACGCGCGCGCTTCGCCAGGTCCATAAAAAACAGCCGACAGCCAAGCAGAGGGAGAAATATGGGTATGGAGTGGATGGAAGAGAGAACTTCACTCAGTGGCTGTGGCTGTGGTTGTGCAGTTGTAAAAGGCAAAGGCAAAGGCAGACGCAAAGGCAAAGGCAAAGTCAAAGTCGCAGCCAATTAAATGGCGATGATCTCATCGCCCACGTTTCGTTTCGTGGCACATTTCGATTCTCAGCGCCTTGGCATTTTGGCCAGATCAAGTGTCGTAGTTGTGGTGTAAGTCTGTCTGTCGTTTGGACGTTGGTCGTTGGAGCCTAGCTTTGCCCCGACCCCTTACGCATTTTCCTTTTACTATTTATTTATTATACTTTTATTTGTCGACCCATTAAGAGGCGGCCTTTTGTTAAGAAACACGTTTCTCGAAAAACCGAAGCGAACCCAGCCAAGACAAGCCAACTCAGTTGACCACATTCCATAAGAAAGAGAATTCGCCAGCTGTGTGTGCCGCCTGTGAGTTTCAGCTTTTGTTTATCTCAACATATTCAGTTGTTGTTTCTGTTTGTCTTACAAATCCCAAACATTTAAAATTGGTGAAACCAAACCTAAAAAAAAAAGGTGCTAAAAAAATCTACATCAATTATTACTATTAATAATAAGCTGTCCAACATTGGGATTTGCATATATTTAGCTTTGGAAATGCCAAAGTAATTTTTTCCCCATCTATTTGGCTGTTAGCGCCCCGGGCCCAAGTCCAATCGCTGGCTGAGTCAGTAATTTAATTTGCACATGTCTTCGAGTTGCGCTTGAATTTGAATACGAATTCGAGTCTTAAGAGTTTTCAAGTTGAACAATTGAGGAAATCAACAAAACAATGTCCTTAACTGACCTTCATGGTGCTAAAAATAGAGCCTATACCCAACCGTAACTTAGCTTAAGCGATGATGAAATTATGTTGCGGAAGATCATGAGATCATGGACTTCTATACTTGTAGTTTTTTTGGCCTTGCTAATTTGCCAGCCAACTTTCTATTTAATTCTGTCTATGCCAAAAGCATTTCTGTCCCTGATCTTTGGCTCATTGTCATAAGAATGAAATCAGCATGGTCTACTTTTAATATTGTATGTATAACCCTGATCTGTTATTCAAAATTTGAAGTCTGCTTCTGACAAAAAGTTTTATTGATTTATGCAAAAGCTAAATGAAGTGTTAACTATAACTGAACAGAGCGTTATGTTAACTTAAAGCAAATACAATTTATAATTGATATTGACAAACTATTAACGAGAATTTACAGAGGTTATTTACCCTAAACTCCGCTGGAAGGCCACTCAAATCAAGTTTTGTCTAATATTATTGCTTACGTTATTGGCCAAGCGAAAGCTGATGAATGTTATTCGAATCAGAAATAAGAATCGATTTTATATGGACTATATATTACACCCACTCTCATTAAGCTCCCGCTGATGCTGGAATATTGACAGCTTACTTTCAATTGCGACATCTAGTTAGCGCAAAAATTTAAGAGACAAATAAAACGACACGATCGACTGCTGCGTCGGGGTTGCATGAATGAATCGCTTAATGAAGCGGCGCTGTGGCAATTGTGGACAGGCTGGCTAACTCTGGCCAGGAGCTGGCACTGACTCGCTGTGTGTTGTGGTTGTGGTTGTGGTCAATCGTCAGTCGTTGTCAGCCGTTATCCACCCGCAAAAAAAAAAAAATGAAAAAGAAAAAAACCGTCAAAGTCGCTTCGTTTGCTTTCCCCGCCCGCAATTCGCTCGTCGCTACATAATTCAGTTTTACGGTTCAGCGATGGCGTTCGTTTTGTTTGCCCCACGATCCGGAGAGCCTCGCTGCATGCTAGCCAATTGCAGCAATGTGGCAAAGCAATCGATTTAAGCGCCGCCGCATAAATTGAAGGCGCAACGTTGCTTGCAAACGACTTACTGCTGGCTGCTGCCAAAAGGTTCCTCCAATCTACAACAACATGATGAATTGTTTTTCTTTGTCGAGTTGTTGACTGCCAACTACAGTTGAAGCAGTTGCAGTGCATTGTTGTTGTTGTTGTTGTTACTGTTGCTGCTGCCCCTGCTGCTGTTGCTGCTGTTGATGTGAATGATGAAGTAGGAAAAAATTGCAAATTGTATCAAAAATTTAAATTTTCGCTTTCATTATGCGGTGGTGGTGGCGTCGTTCGCTGAATCCAATCCCTCGTCTGCCACTCAGCGGCGGCATTTGCTAATGGACTGAATGCTACTTGTTGTTGTTGCTGCTGCTGCTGCTGCTGCTGTCGTCGTTGGCTGCTGCCTGCTGCCATTGTTTTTGGTTTATTTCTTCAGCTTTTCCCTATTTTCAATTTTGACAGCCGCGTTTTTCACAAATAATGAGCTGCTTTTGTGTTCGTTCGCCTCCGATAAAACAAAACAAAAAAAAAAAACCAAGTAAAGAAAAGCTAAAGCGTTCAAATAATTTATAGCCTTTGACCACACGTCTGATCCGCGGCAACATGCCTGCCACCGACAGTTAACCGCCAGTTACGCATGCAGTTCATTCTGTAGCAGCAAACAGCTGTTGCACGGCGCGTATACGCAATACTAACACTGCCAATACTACTTGCTACTTGCATTCACTTTCAACTAATTACGTGCATAAATTAAATGCAAAACATGCTTTATTGCAAATATAAATATATATATATATATATATATATATATATATATATATATATATATGTGTGTGTGTGTTGATGTGCAACAAAAGTAAAATGAGGAACACATTCGCAGCTGGAAAAAGACAAAGACAAAGAGACAGCAAGCGAGAGAAAATGAGACTTTGCAGATGCTTGACTAGGAGACTTGAGGAATGCCAAAGATGTTTGGCAAAGCCAAGAAATGACATGCCATGCTCATGCTCAGAGACCCTCTGCTCCGCTGCTTCGCTGCACTCCTGCAGCCCGTGCTTCATTTGCTCCTGCAACATACAACTTCTGCTGCAAACGTGTGGCACAGCCACAGTGGAGACGTCTAAGACAACGACGACGCCGTCTACCAAACGGAGACATTGCGGCAGACGTTGCAATAACAATCACAATCACAACAACAACAACAACAACCACAACCACAACAAATCAAGCAAATTTTGAAATATGCTGTTGAGTCAAAGCTCAGATACTCTTTTAGAAAAGCCGCATTGATTTAATGTACATGCTAATATATATTGAAAGCTTCTTTTAACAAATAAAGCGCATTTCAACAGAAGTGTTTGTTTAATTCAGTTATAAATAAACAATCCTTAATACTAAAATCCTCTTCTTTCCATATATTAACAATTTGAAACTAGGTCATTGCATACAAATTTTTGGTATTCTTTTTATAGAATTTCTTTAGATATGTTTCTAAAAAGAGTTGCTGGAACACTTGCCGCATTTATTTTTAAATTATATACATAAGAAATATTTCATATGCACTAAAATTTTAATAAATTAATTTAATTACCAAGTATAAATTAAACGTCTTTTAAATATATTTGTAAATTTACACATATATAAGTGTAAATACATATATAAATAATAATGAATATCGTTACAATCAGATTATTGATTAAGACAGTTGATTTTTTAATTATATGTATACGTTAAAACATTATGCACTTGAACTACTATTTTAAACATTTATTTTAAGACAGTTGCAACGTAACTGCAACAATTATGACAGCATCGACCTCGCTGCGCTATATATTTATTTAATAATAAATATTAATATTTTAAAGCGAATTTTCGAAAGCGTTTTAAACATTAATCTTGTTAATCCGTAAGAGACATCACATTAATGAATGCAAAGTCAACAAACTGCATGTGAAACGCGTAATACCCCGTATAATGGCAAGGGCAGGCAAACATATGACAGCAACAACAGCAACAACAGCAACAACACCAACACCAATAGCAACAGCAACAATAATAACAACTGCAGCTGCCGCAGGAGCTGTGACAATGCCGTTGATAACAACAACAACTACCCAACAACAAATTGTTGTATATGTGTTGGCTATGCAATTTTTCGTAGCCTCTTCAATTTCAGCATTCTTTTGACCGTCTGCATATTTGCAGTGGTTGCTGATGTGGGCAGCAGCAGTTGATTGCATCGATCGTTTGTGTTTTTGCTGCTGTTCATTGTCGTATGATGCGTATGCGTAATCTGCCCCAATGAATTGCTTTGGCGCATTGTATTTGAGG